GGCGCTCGGTGGCCGTGCACGGTGTTTCCGAGCCCCAGGGTGTTGAAATAAGACCCAAAAAACGAGACGGTGGAGGCTTTAAAACCGTTTTTTCCTCCTCGGATCCAGCTGGCTGCAGAGCGTGTTCGGCGGGGAGGGTCTGGGAGGGTTTTGTCCAGGGTGGGTTTAGGCTGAAAGCTGCTGCAGGGTGTCCAGGGTGTGTCTTGGGGCTGCTAGAAGAGGGTTTTTCAGCAGAAGTTGAAGCTTTGCCTGCTTTTTCCTGGGTTATGGTTTGTTCAGCAACCATCAGTTTCTTCTAAGTGTCATTGATGATGTTCTGCCAAGGGAAAATTCATAGAATCATAGTGTTGTGAGTTGGAAGGGACCCACAAGGATCATCGAGTCCAGCTCTTGAATTATTTCTCCCCTTCCCCCTGGGTGTGTTCTGGAGATGGTGGCTTGGATATCTGTCTGTCTGTGGGATATCTTTAGGAAAACAATCACCCTGGCTGCTTCTGCAAAGTCCTAACGTAGCTGCTGAATCTGTGCCAGTGCAGTCTCCCCGTGCTCCATTTTAATCATTATCTTTCTTGATTTTATTTTCCAGTGAAATGAAGCTAAAGGAGATTGATCGTACTGCCATGCAGGCATGGAGCCCTGCCCAGCAGCACCCCATCTACCTGGCCACAGGTGAGTTTTTGGGAAGCGTGTGCGCTAAGCAGGCCTCAGGCTACGTGTTGTGGCTACTATGAAGTGATTGTAATTGAAAGTTGTAGGAGTTATTTCGTGTCCTGAAGGCTGGAGCAGGGTATGTGGTGCATACTCTTTAGTATGGAACCTCTTTATAACTTTAGTGGAGTTCTCTGGCTGTGCCATGCATGAAAACATGCTTTGCATTCTGCAGGTGACAGCAAGCATCCTCTTCTTTCTGCCATGGTAAAGGTGACAGCAATCCTAACTGCCAGTTCACTGTCCCCTGCTCCTCATTTGTAACTCTGATAATTTTCTGTGTATTGTCAGAGAGAAAGAGGCACTTGCCCGAAGATTTTTGTGTTCATATTGGTTAAGAAACCCCAGAAGGGGGAACCATAGGGAGGAAAGTTATGTAGAACTGCATCTCAATAACAGAAACCTGGTCCCATCTCTGTGTCTTTTTCACAAGGATGGTGTTCTTATGCCCCTCCTTTGCAGTTACTCTTTTGTGTGTCACGGCTTTCTCACTGCCAGGCATGCTTCTTTGCAGGTACATCAGCTCAGCAGCTGGATGCAACCTTCAGTACAAGTGCTTCTCTAGAAATATTCGAGTTGGATTTATCAGACCCTTCACTGGATATGAAATCCTGCGCCACCTTCTCCTCCTCTCACAGGTGAGCAGTGGGGTTGTAAGGGAAAAGTAACAGCTGTGGAACTGTTACACGTGGTGCATGTGGAAAGGCCACTTTGTGAGGTTCATCTGCAGTTGCTGAGGAGAGGAGCTGAAGAGTGAAAGCGTGTGAATGCCACTGATGATGTGGGATGATGAGGTGTCATTGTGAAGGCATTGAACTTGGATTCTGAGGAGCTGGAAGCAGCTCGTGCTCTGACAGAAACCTAAAAGATCTGACATTGTCTGGTAGGTTTGAGTATGTAGGCAGACAGTTTATCTTGAGGAGCCTCTGGGATTCTCCAGAGAACAGAAGGAAATGCAGTCAGAGCTTTTCACATCACCCCATCCTGTTTGCATTTAGGTATTTCAGGGAGACCCCCTGTCACGTAACTAAACTGGTTCATGTTGTGTGTGTAGTATCATACCTCACCCCACAGCTGGGAAGCCAAGTTCCCAACTGTGTGACTCCACTTCACTCTTAGTTCCTTACCATGCGCTTGTCCAAAGAAATACTGTTTGCATCAGAGCATCCAGTTTCCATTTTGGCAGCGCTTGTAGCAGCTCTCGGGTGGCTGGTCCAGTGGCTGCCACTCATTGTGAGTGAACAGAAACAACACGGAGGGAAGTACAGGATGTTTCTATGGGTAGAAAAGGAGGTGAAAATTTTCATTGCCATTGGGTTGGATCTCTGACTTCTTCATACCAGCTACAGTGTCAACATAACCCCTCTTTCCTCTGGTGACCCAAAATGACGTGGCTGGAAGTGCAGACAATTATAGCACTTTGCCAGGATGTTCAAGTGAGAGTTTGACACTTCTAGAGAAGCAATTGTCATCTCTCCCACCTCTGATATGAGTAGAAATTAACTGAACTTGAGTCTTATAATGAAGACTCAAAGCAGGAAATTCAAGACCTAAGGATCTAGAGCTGTTTCCCAAAGTTCTTGACCAAATGCTGTTTGCTGGGTTCCTAGAGGTTAAATGTTGCCTATAAACAACTTGAGAGGGGTTGAAATTGTGCACATTTGCACACAGGAAGATTGTGACCCTGCTTAGGGATGCTCTCCTGACTTGGATAACTAATGGTTGTGGCAGCTTTTGCAGGAGGAAGCACGAGGTGTTAGACTGCAGGCTTTGTGCCCTGTCACTTTGGTTGTACTGACTCACGGGGCCGGCGGAGCAGCTCACAATCCGTGCCCTGCAGTTGTCTGTGTTCTAGTACGTGGGGTTTGTGAGAAGCAGCCGGTCTCTGACGCCCTGCACTGTGGGCAAATTTGATCTTAACATGTCCTACTGACCTGCTGAGAGCAGGATAAGGTGTTTGATCTTTTAAAATGTCCTTGTTCTACCTGGTTTTAACTATGACTCAGGTTTTTCAAGGCTTGCCAAGTGACATTCGCTTACTCAATTTCAAAAAACATTCCTTAATAGCCAGGCTGCAGTGCTCCTTTGAAAGTCCTTCCCTTGGTGAGCAACACAAGAATTTGACTTTGCCCCAGAAAATGCATTACAAAGGAGGTTGATTTTTTTTTTTTTAAAGATACCAAGAAGTGGCCCAGCTAGCAATTTATACATCAGGCTTTATTTTGTTTTACAGCAAATTAAAATGGCCAGGTGATTAAACCCACAAAATAGAAATCCTGCAGTAAGTTCAGTTAATTGTCCTCCAAGGAAGGTTTTGTACTGTTTTTATAGAGCCCTACTTTATCTTGGAAAGAGCAAAGGGCAAGAAGAAAGTAATTGCACAGTTAACTCTAGGTTTTGTTCCTCACTGTTTTCTGCCTTCACTCTGAATTATCTTAATTCCTATTGAATCTTGCTGGTGGTGTAATACTAGTGACCACACAACCCTGTTGGTCACTCCATTTCTCATAACCTTGCATAGTTAGGTGCAGAAGTATAAAAATCATACCTAGGGAAAGGGTCTGTCTGATTTCACAGACTAATTTCTGTTTGTAGCCTCGTTCTTTGGTGAACCCCAACTGTAACCTGAACATTGCACTAGGGGACAGAGCACTTGGCTCTTACCAGTATTTCTCACCCAGCATATGCTCTAAGCAAACAAAAGAGCCCAGCTCTTTGTCTGGCTTCCTGCACTACGTATTTTATCCTACTGAAGTTGCTGTGGTTTAACAAAATTACTTGAAAGTGGTCCAGACATTAAAAAAGAGGTTACTAATAACATGGTGAATGCTGAAGTAACTCCTTGCCACCTTCCAGTCAATGTGGGTTTGTTTTCTGCTTGTGTAAGAGCTGATAGGAGACAGTGTGTCATTTTAGGTAGAAGAAATTCACTCTTTGCAAGGCTGAGTACACAGGAATGCTGGTTTGCTGATGCAGCAAGTTCACTGAGTTGAAGGAAATTTAGGTAATTTGCAGATGGATGCAGTGGTGTGAAAATAACTTCCATTTCTGGAAGTATCTTTAATTCTTCTTGACTTAGCCTGGAAAATAGATTGTGATCCAATAGACTTGTGTCTATGAATAAACTACTTGCTGAGCCTCCAGTACAGCAGATGAAATGCTTGCACATCCAGAAGCACAGATACGAGATAGAACGAGAGGAAATGGCCTCAAGTTGTGCCAGGGAGGGTTTAGATTGGATATGAGGAACAGTTTCTTCCCCGAAAGGGTTGTCAAGCATTGGAACAGGCTGCCTAGGGAGGTGGTGGAGTCACCTTCCTTGGAGGTATTTAAAAGACAGGTAGGCAAGGTGCTCAGGGACATGGTTTAGAGGTGGACTTGGTAGTGTGAGGTTTATGGTTGGACTCGGTGATCTTAAAGGTCTTTTCCAACCACTACGATTCTGTGATACGGAAAAGGATTTGGAATTTTTGTAGTTCCACCTTTTTCCTCTCTTATACAAAGAGTTGCTTACAAATAGCAGAGGTTTAACCTTCAGGCTGTGGTTGAATGGGCTTGCAGTTCTTATTTTGATTGCTCCTTTGTTTTGTGAAGGCGAGCTCAAAAATCACTCGCAGTTGGGAGCACTTATCTGATTTTGCAGCCAGGAGGTGAGAGATATTATCATTTACCAGGTTATTGGTTGTGCATGTCGTGACCTTGCGTCTTGATAACAAGCAGAACTGGGACACAGTTGCCTTTCTGACAGAAGGGATTGTACATAGAGACTCATCCTCAAGGAGAAATGCAGTCAGTGCTTTTCTCTGACCTGTCCACAAGCAGTCTGGAGGCTTTTAGCTTGAGTGAGCAAAATAAGGTGCATCATTGTGTGTGGAGCTGGTGATGGATGGATGTAGACTGTGAGCACCCCTCTTGTGTCTTACAGGTACCACAAGCTGATCTGGGGGCCACACAGCATGACCTCGGGTGAAAGAGTCTCTGGAGTCCTGATTGCTGGGGGTGAAAATGGAAATGTCATTCTGTATGACCCAGCCAAAATCATAGCTGGAGACGCTGAAGTAATAATTGCCCAGAAAGACAAGCACACGGGGCCAGTAAGAGCGCTCGATGTCAACATGTTCCAGGTTGGTTTCCTGCTGTTCTTCATCACCATCACAGATGAGTGACCTATCTTAACTTGTAGCCTTAAATGTTTCTGTCCCTTTCCCCTCCCATGAAAAGCATGAACGAAATCTGGTCTTTGAGTGTCTGTTTGTGTTTAGTAGGAAAACCCTGTCCTATTACTGCCATTTCAGGATGGGGACTGAAAGAGTTCAAGGTGTCTGGTTCGTTCCTTCCCCACACCAGTTTACATTGTCAATTTAATAGGGTTTTTTTAGCTCAGCTTCCATGTGAAGTAGAGATGGTCTTCTGTGGTGTTTTTAGCCAATCTCCTTTTTTAGCTCTCATGTGCCAATATTGTTCTCATCACATAGGGAGTATTTACTTGCTCTCACTTATGTTTCCAGTGACATCAGATTTTTAGCTGTCTCCTTGGGGGGGTAGGGTAAGATCCATCTTCCAGACCTCTCAGTATTGTTACTTGGAAAGAGGAGACAGAGCAGGAGACATGGTGACATGGCCTCTTCAGCAGAAGAGCTCTCAAAACAACAAGCTTTCCTCCATCACTAATAAGCATTTACTTCCTTCTAGATACAGTGGGTTGGTTTTTCCTTGTCTCCACCAGCTGTGCAAGAATTCAGTTGAATTCCTTTCCTAAATAGCATTTCTGTCTCTGCACAGTTGCTTTCAGCAAGGCTGCCCTGTGTTCATTGTGTCCTCTCTGAATCGCTTCCTCTCCCTTTCTGCCCGTTATGAAGTCGACTTGCTTGTCACCAGCCATGGGATGTGATCAAAGGGCAGTCGGTGCCCTTGGCTGGTGTCAGCCTTTTGCACCCAGACACGGGATTGCTTTGGATGATTGCACTGACTGTGTGGGTGGAGTGTTGTCTGCTGCTGGAGGCACAAATTCCATGCTCCTTCCATGTCATGGTTTGCCTGGAGCAAAGCTCTGTGGCGGTGACCACTTCCTCATCTGCCCCCTCCAGAAGTGTCACTGGTTCCCATTTGCCTGTCCATGACTGTGCCCCTTCAGCCTTCTCATTGGTGTTTGTGCAGTGAAGGAGAACTCCACAAAACAGGAATTTTGGTTGTAGCATGCCAGTCTAGTGCAATGTATGGATATTATTATTATTATTATTAACTCAGCCTTACCTGCAATCTCAAAAAACCTTGTTTGTTTTTTTTCCCTAAGCTGTTCTCTGTGAGCCAAAGGCTATATCCTGAGCTAACAGGAGAAATTGGCACAGTCCTCTGCCTCCCAGCAGCTATGATTGTGAAAGCTGATGCTGAAAATACTCCTAACATCTATTAATGTGTCTTACAGACTAATCTGGTGGCCTCTGGTGCTAATGAGTCTGAAATCTACATCTGGGACTTGAACAATTTTGCCACTCCAATGACACCAGGAGTGAAGACGCAGGTACCAAATTGGTATTTGTTAAATACTGGAGAGCAAACTAATGAAAAATATTAATGTTGCTGAAGTTGACAGCTCATTGAGACCTGCAGTTTTAAAGCTGTCTCAAGGAGGGCCTGGGGGAACCCTTTTGAAATCTTAAATTAGATAGCAGTGAATTTTAGTTAGCCATGAACTACACTTCTGGCAATGTTAGATACAGTCTGTAAAGGGTGGTACAACAGATCTCTCTGTATCAAAATAATGACAAATGTTCCTGCATGTTGTTCTCTAGTGGCTTTCCTGAAGACCCACAGTTCTAGGCCTTCTGTTGGTACTCTAATTTTTGTGACATGCTTATTAGAGTGTGAGGTTTGAGATATTTTTCTGCTTGTGATGTGCCTGTGACTCAAAGCATATGTCAGAAGTCCGTGTCCTTGAGGATAGGAATCTCTGAGTGGCAGTGTAGGTCGCTTTCAGTGAACGTTTTTGGAAGGCAGTCAGTTGTGGCAGCACTATTTTCCCACTATTTTGTGCCCAGCTATGATTTTTTTTTTTTTGCCCAGCTGGCTACAAGGGTGACTGGTTGCTGCTGTTTCTCTAGCCCCTGAAGTGCAGTTTTGGGGCTGTGCCTGGAAGTGCAAACACACGCAGGTCCATGCGATGAGTGGTTTGCTCTGCCTCCCGTGCAGCAACCCTGGATGTGCAGATGTGTTTATCCACAACAGACCTGCACTTTTGACTGGCTGCATGAGCACTTGTATCATGTCTTTTTGTGGTGGGATTTTATTTTTTAAATAAAATTTGGCCAGGGAAAACTGAAGTATCCCATTAGTCTTTGAAAAATGTTGCCTTTCATCAAGGAACAAGTAATAACAAGCCAAGTCTCTCAGGTCACACCACTTTTTAAATATCTTAACTTAATATTTTAACTATTACACATCTAGTCTTCCTCTGCATGTTTCACTGCATGCATGAATCTGAAGGTTGTGAAGGTACAGATTGAGGAAAATAGGAGGAAGATAAAAAGCAGCTACTGAGAAGTCAGAAGATGAGGCAGTGGTTTGGCAGGTACCTTCATGGATTTCAGGGAGTGTTTAATTGCTATACTTACAGGCCAGTGTTCAGCCTGCGTCTCTTAAAGAAGATCTACGGGGGGAAAACAATCACTTTTTGTACTTTGTGCCTTGTGAAGGACATGGAGGAATGGGAGAAAGTTGTTTCAATGCATGTATGTTTCTGTAGCTGTTACAAAATTGCAGAAGTTGCTTGTGGTTACTGGAAAATGGGTTTATTTTACTTGATGGTAATTTGGAGACAACAAAGTAAGGAAATGGGTTGAGAAGTAATCTTTAGTCTAAAGATTTTTAGTTTAAACTGTGGCTTTGTATGCTTTGGTTGGAGTTGTTTATTATCATGTGGGCATTTTGGAGGATGCTCACCTTAGTGAAAGATCCATGTATAGGATTTTAAATCTCTAATAGTATTTTTTTTAGGCTGGGAAATCTTTTAGTCCTTATGTTTAATGACAGCTGGAAATAATAGTGCATCAAGGACTGGGTTAACATTGCTTCTCATTCTTGGACTAAAAATAAGCAGTTGAGGGAGAATTTTAAAAACCACATGGAACTCCTCCAAGCAAACTCAAAGTTTTTTTGTAAGTCAAAGCCTAATAATCCAAGGCAGAAGGGCAGTTTATGTACCCAGATGTACTTTCATTGAGTAATTTTCTGTTCTTGAAGACAGTTGTGCTTCATCTTCTTTCAGTGAGTAATGTATCCTATTGAAAAGCAGAAAATGCAGATATTAGAGAAATGCTAGTGGGGTTTTCAGGTGTTCTACCCTATAGTGTGTGTACATAGGAAGCCAGAACACACACAGTCCCTGGGATGAGTCTCTTTGCAGATTTAGCATTTAGTGAGTCCTGAAAATAACAGATTTTGAGTCTGTGATTTGGAAAGGTTGTGACAGGCTGTTCTGTGTGTGTGACAGCCTCTCGAGGACATCAGCTGCATCGCATGGAACAGGCAAGTCCAGCACATCCTGGCGTCCGCCAGCCCCAGCGGCCGAGCTACCGTGTGGGATCTCAGGAAGAACGAACCCATCATCAAAGTCAGTGACCACAATAACCGGGTGAGTGGGCTCTCACACGAGTGCTGATGGAGGGGCGTGGGGTGCCTCTTGGGCTGTGGGGACAGGTCATAGCACCCCCTCTTACATGACGTAAAGATACTGGTGCCTGGCCCAGTTTTATATGACACGCTAAATATCTGATGCTTTCTCTTAATAAGCTATATACACACAGAGGGATTGTCAGCATTGTAAACAAAAATAGGCTGATGCAGATTGAAGCAAGGCAAGGCACTCAGATTTCCTGTCAGAGTGATAAGTTAGTTTGGAGAAAACCATTACTGATTTGTTTAATTGCTGATTTGTTTGGGGTTACCACAGAAAGATTTTTATTCAGCTAGTCAGAAATGACATGTTTTGTGTGCTGGAGAGATGAGGCTACAACTGATGGGTCCTGGGTGAGCACATTTAGTTTGGCAGAGCAGGTGATGCCATGACTTAGGGCTTGGACAGAGAGGGCTTCTTGACATCACAGGTGGGAAGAGCACAAGGGCTGAGCCCTGGCAGGACACTGATGACTGATGGAGCTGGAGCCTGTGCTTCTGCTGGTCTGGCCATGGAAATGGGAACAGGCTGGAGCTGAGCTTGGAGAGGGCAGGGTCTGTGGTGGAGAGCACCCCAGAGGAGTGTTGTCATTGAGTGGGTTACAAGGGACACTGCCTTGTATAGTTACAACCACCACAACTGCTCCTTGGGGAGTGTAAATGTGAAAAAGAGCCTGTAGAACTTGAGGAGAGTGACACATCTGTATATTTCTGTCTATTTAAATGTTACAACAGACTTTGAAGATGTGGCAAGAATTCAGAATGGAATTTACAGATGGATGGGGGCTCCTGAAGGAGCTATTTGGTCACTGCACTTATTCTGATAAACTGTGTAACCGTCAATGTTTTATGTATTTGTTGCCTAACATAACACCAGCATAGTTGGCCGTCTTCATCATGTGATTGTAGTCTAGTGATACAGTGTTCACATGACAATAACCTCTGCCTAGCAATGGCTTTTCTTAAAATATCAATAAAAATATTAGAGAAAAATATTTGTGTGGAGGGCTTTACAGTTTTCTTACATTGAAACACAGGACTGTGAACAAGACAGCACAAAGTCATCTCTTTGAGAGGATCTTGGGAAGCCAGCTGCAAGTCTCCTCACTCACAGAAACAAGGAGAGCACCCCAATCTGAATGCAGTCAGAAATAATGCCCAGAAACACAGCTGCAAATTCCTTTGAACAGTGTTTTAGCATCCATGTGGACATATTTAGGTTGGCTGTCTTTTTTCCTTTACTGCTTGGTTATTTTACTGGTTGTGGTGCAATGTTGTCCCTCAGATGCACTGCTCAGGCCTGGCATGGCACCCTGATGTCGCTACCCAGATGGTTTTGGCCTCAGAGGATGACAGGTTGCCTGTGATTCAGATGTGGGACCTAAGATTTGCCTCCTCACCACTTCGTGTTCTAGAAAGCCATGCAAGGTATGAGTCTCCGTAGCCTGCTGCTCCGTGGTGTTTGCACTGTTGGTGACTGCCTACCAGTTTGTACCTCTCACTTCTTACTCAGTTCCCTGTGAAGGCTCACTTAGTTGGAAGCAGTGATTCCAGAAGCAGGCAGTGTTATATTGCTGGCTTGCTGACTAGTCAACCCTGTGTCCCAAAAGCCTTGAGTTTTTGGGGCCTGCTGGTTTGAAGAGAACAGGCCCCAAAATAAAACATCATCCTGCTGGAACACTGAAGTTGCTAGTTTGTTTCTGTGCTTCTCAAGGAGAGAGAGCTGAGGTGCAAAATGTTAGTAACAGTTGATTTTACCTGAATGGTGGACTGAAGAGGGACCTGGGTGTATTCTCACATGTCAACATGCAATACCTCACTGCCCCTCAGTCCCCTACATGCCTTAAATTTGGGTACAAGGAAAGATTTGTTAAATTCTCATCCCTCCTCAATTGTTAGTGAAACTTCCCTTAGTGCCCAAAACCAGCACTTGATTTAAGGAGCAAGAACAGCAATCAGTCTGTGTTGCAGCTTCTACCAAAACTGCTGCCAGTAGTTTTGCTGACTTGAACCTTCTGCTAATAAAAAGAAGCTGACAAACTTGGTGGTCAGTGACCTTACCTGCAACTTTGCACACTGTATGTTAATGATACTGCAGGCAAACAAACCATTTTGTTACACTGGTGTCCAGGTTCTCCTGCATGACTGTTGCATTTAATTTTCAGAGGTGCATTTAATTTTCAGATTTTTTTAGCCGCACCTTTATACCACTTCATGCAGAAATTAGAAAGCATCTATGTCAATACATAAAGTACTGATAACATTGAAAAATTTCTCCTCTTGTAAGAGGAAGGAGTGGGGAGGGCATTTTGAGGTGGAAAGCTCAGCTAATGTAGAAACTCAACTTATAAATATGCTTTGTTTAGCACCATGTTGTGTTTACATGAAGCTTTTTTTGGTTGTGACTTTTCACGCAGGGGTATCTTGGCCATTGCTTGGAGTATGGCGGATTCAGAGCTGCTCCTCAGCTGTGGGAAGGATGCTAAAATTCTCTGCTCTAACCCTAACACGGGCGAGGTACTGTGTGCACAATACTTTAAAAACCTCTGTTCAGAGGTGGCACAGGGACATATGCAAAGCAGATGTTGGTGTGCTTGCACTCCTAGGAGTGATGCTTCTGTGGGATGTGTCTCTCTGTCCGGTGTACTTGTGTTGATATAACACAAAGAAGCCTTCTGAGCTTGTTCTGGTGGTGAAGGCTTCCTTCCTAGTAATGCTGATGTTATGTGTTTGTCCTTATTGCTTTTCTCCTGCTAAGTAAAGGTCCCTGCTCATTATGAGGGGTAGAAGTGGCCCTACTTAAACTAAGTATACTCTTTTGGTTTGGACCTGATGTGGCTGGATTACTCTTGCAATTGCCTTTTTACTTCTGTAAGTGTAAGAACTTTAATCCAGACCAAAGAGGATTTTGTAGGTTACTACAGTAATGGCAGATTAGTGAGAGCCACTTGAATGTGTTTGCTCCTCACCCTGTTGGGCCTGGGGATGCAGATCATTTTTCCAGACAACTTAAGTGTTTGCCCCTAGACCACGAGAAGGGTTTCAGGCATGCTGGAGGGCTACTTGCCTGCAATGGACAATAATCCTGGAGGACAGAGTGAGAAGTGTTTCTTAAAATTCAGATATTAGCCCAAAAGTGCAGAAGCTGTGGGGTGGTAAATGAGTTATCTGAGCTGGATCCTGTGCTGTTAGGAAGGCTTTACATGTGGATGAATCATACAACGTAGTTATTATTAAAAACAAAAACCAGTTTCCTGGGAGGCAGCGAGGCAGTTGGACTTTTGCTCTTTAAGTTTCTCCTAGTTTATGGTTAAATGGCTGCTGCAATGGTGGGCTTGGCTGTTCCAAACAGGAGAAGCTGTCTGCCCAGAGTGCAGATTTTAACTTTTCCAATTTTCCTGCAAAAACAGACTTACTTTGGAGGCTGGACATGTCTCCATGTAGTGTGTGGAAATACCCAGATTAGTTCTGAACGAGCTAGCGTGAATATCAGCAGCAGCTCACAGCTTGCAGTGGCACAACACAGACATACCCTGCCTGCATAGTTTGTCCTGTGTGTATTAAACAGAAGGTTTAATGGGAGGAGAAGGAAATTAAGCAGTAGTGTATGATAACCTCTTATTTGGTGATTGTCAGAGTTTGCCCACTGTTAGTGTGTACAGTGACATGGAGGCTGCTGGGGAGCAAGAAGGGCAGGCCAGTCTCAAGAATTGTTGCTGTTGGACATGGTGAGCCCTGATTTATTGGACTTGTTTTTGCTGCCCAGGTGCTGTATGAGTTGCCCACAAACACACAGTGGTGCTTTGATATCCAGTGGTGTCCCAGGAACCCTGCTGTCTTGTCTGCGGCTTCGTTCGATGGGCGCATCAGTGTTTACTCCATCATGGGAGGCAGCACGGATGGCTTGAGGCAGAAGCAAGTTGACCAGGTATTGAGAAATGTTCAGCTAAGAATATGAACAGAAAGAGGGGAGGGGGAAACATGGTCTTGTGGGATGTCTTCAGTGGCTGTCTGCAGCCCTGCTTGCAGGAGTGTACCAATCCAGTGCAAATAAAAGCTTATGTTTAGTTTATTGAGAGATATGTCACTTTTTGTTTTTCTCCTTTTTGTTATCAAAGCTTTCATCATCTTTTGGGAACCTCGATCCGTTTGGTACAGGACAGCCCCTCCCACCCCTGCAGCTTCCCCAGCAGACCACCCCACAGAGTGTCGTTTTGCCTCTGAAGAAACCACCCAAATGGATCCGACGACCTGTGGGAGCATCGTTCTCGGTAAGCCAGAGACAACGCTGGGCATGGTTGGCCAGGGAGGGAGGGAGTGGTGGCACCTGCAAAACACTTTGTGAAGAGGGAAGTTCAGTGTTGTGCTCCACCTTGGGAGAACTTCCACTGTTTGTGGTGGTGGGAGATGCTCATGGCAGTTTCCAGACAGGGTGCTTGGGACAGCAAGCCAGCAAACAACAGGCACTTGTTTCTTTCTAGTTTGGGATTAGGGCTTTGCTTTTATTTGTGTGCAGTGCTTGCAAACAGTTACATTGGGAGGAGGGAATGGGACCAAACTGGGCAAATGTCTGAGACTTGAGTGCAGTTTGAAGCTGTTATGTGAGTTGGTGTGATGGAAAATACTTGGGTTAGTTCTGATCAAGGTAGCAGGACTTGCTGTAGCAGCACACAGCTTCAGCTCCTCCATGGCTGGTTGATTTGTAGAGGAACCAGGTGAGAGGGTGGCAAGGCCCTGCTTTTTGTGAAAGCAGAGTCCTCTGCCCTTTGACTCCACCTTTGGCTTATTTTCTAGACCCACAGGCCATTTCTTAGGGATCTCCTGAAGATTTCAGCCTGTCCACTTGAAATTGCTTTCTTTACCAAAATACTGCTCAATTTTCAGCATTGTATTTCACAATTTGATGCACAAATTACATACAGTTTTCTCCCATCAAAGAAGTGCTGTTGCCCAGCCACTGACTGATGTGTCATTTTATAATGATGTTTATTCCCTTATTTGTCCTGGTTTTCCAGGAGCCAGTTGTCAGTCTTTTTCTTGGCTAGGCTTTTTTTGCTTTTATAAGCTCCTTCTAGTTTTTTTTCTTCTTTTGATTTTACTTCTCTCCAAATGATAACACAACTTGTTGCCCATCTCTCAGTAGGCTTTTAACTTGTAAACAACCTGCCAAGAGCAAGGCAGACATCATGCTTGAGCATTTATTTAAATCTGTATAGGTTTCTTTGGTAATTACATTGCAGTATCAAGAGGTACTCCATTCATGCTGGGCACTGTACAGACCCACAGCTCCAGTTCTCAGTTTCTAGTCAGTCTTTTGCCTGAGGAGGAAAAAAAAAACACAGTCACATGAGTAGCTGTGCTCATATATCTTATTAAATGTGTGCTCATTTATCCAGCAACCTTTTTATATGCATCGAAATATAGGGTGGTGGGGGAAAAAAAAAATCAATGACTTTGTCAGGAATGTTTGTTCATTGGATGATTAACCATATATATGCTATAGAAAATCATGTGCCTACATGTGTGTATGTGCATCCTTCATATACACTCCAATGTATACTTGTATGTTTACATACTGCATGTGTGTCTCAATTCCAGTTTGGAGGCAAGCTGGTGACATTTGAGAATGCCAAGCCTCAGCAGCAGCCAGGCATTGAGCAGCAGCAGCAGCATCACCATGTCTACGTGAGCCAAGTTGTTACAGAGAAGGAGTTCCTGGCCCGCTCAAACCAGCTGCAGGAGGCTGTGCAGTCTGAAGGATTTGTCAGCTACTGCCAGAAGAAAATTGACATGGCCCAGGCTGACTTTGAGAAAAACGTGTGGGCTTTCTTAAAGGTAACAGGATAACAGCAGTTCAGCAGTTGCCCACTGACTTGGGAAGCCAATGCAGAAATGGTTCCTTCTGTGCATTATGATGTTTTAGCAGAAGAGATGCTGAGAACCAGAAGTGTAGACTGTGGGAATAGTGCCCATAGTGACTGGTGGGGGTGGCCTACCAGAAGAGGGTCCTCAGGGCCAGGGGTGTTTGCAGGGTTTGTGAGAAATCATGGCAGAAGCCAAGGCTTGGGGGAAGAAGGTATCCTGTGTTTTTTGACATTCCCCACCAGTACATCTTTGTACAGGGAGCTGGTGAGAAGGGATGAATCTTTTTGAAAGCTTCAGATGTGCTTTTTCACTGCTCGCTATGGACAATTAGAGGTTTCCAAGTGAAGCCAGTAAGCAGATGGTTCACCTACAGCAGCAGATGAAATGACCAACACAGAGATAGATGTGTTCAGCACTTTATTGAAGCTTTGCACTGCTTATATGTCCTTTTTTCCTTCCCCACGCCCCAAGCACGCATCATTCTTTCAGTTTTGATTCATTACCCCTTATCACACACACACCTAAACAATTGACATGATTGGATAATTCCACTTGTCTATGAGCCATTCTTTTAATTCTGACTGGTTACTAATTACAGCTCACAAGTCATCCCTTATCTTGTCTCATACACATTCTTGCTGCTTATTCCACTTTGGTTTATTTTCATTTTTTTCTTCACTCAAGGTCAGGAATTAATTGCTCAAGGGTGAAACCACCTGCAGCTTTGGCTCTTAAAGCACCAACAACCTACAATAACCAGATTGAAGCCTTGCCTACTGCCTCGGGTGCACAAGTCACTGCAGACCTTTTCAGTTCTCTTTATTATACTCAGTCTCCACAGTCACTAGCTCTCACTGAGTAGCTTGTGCCAGTCAAGTAAAAAAACAGCAAGGGAGAAAATGACAAATTGTTAATTGCAATATATTCTTTAACTTTTGTTTTTTAAAGGTGAACTTCGAAGAAGATTCACGTGTTAAATACCTTGAGCTCTTGGGATACAGGAAAGATGATCTGAGGAAGAAGGTAAATATGCCTGAAAGCTGTGCTTGTGTTGAATGCTTTATGGGTGAATTTATCTGCAGAGTACAGCCTAAAATGTTGATGATGCCATGTATGGTTGGAAGAGCAGTTACCACTATCCACAGGCTATTCAATACAATAAACATTTTTGCACAACCTGATTTTCCCAGCAGACAGTATTTGTTAGTGCTGTAGATCTCAATAGCCATAAAACAACTGTTACCTGTGGTGCCAGAGCCTCTATTTAAACATGGCTGACTTGAATAGTTGTGTTATTTAAGGAATTATTTTGTTCCAAAGGACACTAGAGATCTTCCTCTACTCTTTAAATTTGGTCTGGATAACTCATGAATAACTTCAGGATTCTTGGAGCAAGCAGTTTGCTTGGTTGAGTTTATTAGCCATGTCATCTCCTTGCAACACAGATGTTCAATGAAAATTTCAAAGCAGGCAACAGGCTTCTGAGGTGTGTCTACATCTGACTGTCCAATGTTGATCTGAAATTCTCACCCATCGGGAAGCTCTGATATTTATTGGTCCAAGCTATTCATGCAGCTTTGTGACATCCTTCTACCGTAGCATCGTGGAATCTGATATGGTTTTAGGCTTTGTGTTTGAAGGACATGTAAGCAATCTTCAGGGTTTCAGTGGAAACCTTGGAAAACATAGAATAGTCCTGTGGGATGCCATGCATTTTTACCAAAAAAAAAAAAAAAAAGGAAGGTAAGATCAAACCTGGTTACATTTGGAAAGGCAAAATTTGGATTAGCAGAAAGCAAGTTACACATCTGAAGGATAGAGCTTTCTTCTAGCTGGAAGAAGATTCCCTCAGTGGATTTAAATGTTTCTTATTTTCATTGTATCAAACTAATGTTTTATTTTCAAAGAGTGACTCCATAAAAATGTCATTATAGTTACAAATTAAATGGCCTCCAGGACAAACTTATTATGATAACAGAAAAAACCCAACATGTTTTTGCTAACAGTCTGTCCTTAAACCTTAATTTTTGTTGCATGAGTTTAAGGCAAGCACAGCAAGGGAAACCCTATTTTTGAAAAGCAGATCTCAATTAGAAAATCCAGTTGAAATTTAGTAGTGGTCCTGCAGAGCAGCCTCATGCAGACTAGAGGCCACTACTGCTCTTGCTCTGGGTTTGATATGCCTTGTGCATGGGGAGAAGCTGGGAAAATGGGTACAGCTGAATTGTGGCCTGAAATGCTGGGCCTACCCCATTATCTCAGTATTTGAGGAATATATATGGGGAGCTGCAAGGCCATGTTTTCAGGTAGCTATTTCTCAACAAAGCATTCCATGTTGAAGTTGAATCCATGTTTTTTGAGTGTCAAGAAACAATGCAGAACCGCTCATCTGAAAATTTTTGATACCCAGATGGTAAACTCACTAAATCACAACTTGTTTTTCATGTTACTGGTAGGGTAAGGAAAGTAAAAAAAGGGTCACAGATTTCAGCTTCCTGGAATAAGCTGTTAAGAACATGGTGTTTTGCTTTTTATCTTCTTAAAACCTCTGAATCTCAAATGCAAGTCAAGTCTTGGATTTCTCCTTTCCATTGTAAACTAAGGATTGAAAAATAAAACTATCTATCTGCAGCAATTTGAGCTCAGCTTTCTGTGAAAAACAACCTACAAGGGTAAAATAAAGCCTGTGATACTAAAAGCAGTAGATAACACTAGCAGCACTAGGGAAACCCAGGCTCACAGATGCCAAACTAATTTATTTTATGCATGTATTCTAAACTCTACATTGAACTGGCATCTTTGAGTGCCCTAATTGAATGTGGAGTAATGATTTGCTTTGCAAAGCAGTAAAAGCTGGTCATTTTAACTCTTCCATACCTTGGAAAATCCTAGCCCATAGCCGTGTGCCTTGAAACCACAGCTTCCTGACAGGCTCCCTCCTCCACAAGGGTTGTTACAGCTTCATTTTCCCTAACCTGAGCAGACAGAAGGTTTTGTCCTGCATGCTCTGATACTATTTTTATTACTGTGGTTTCCAGCAGCACTAGTGAGGTTGGAGGTTGTTGAGTTAACAATTAAAGGTTTAAAGGCACAGAGCAGCTGTTGTTTCCATCACAGCTTGGGGTTCAGGGGGCTTAGCAGTAAATCCATCGCCAGGCTGGGAAAGGAAATGTCTGTAGTTTCATGTTAACTGTTCTGCAAGCAACTTTATTAGCTACATGTGCCAGTTCTGCAATCCAAGAGATCAGGGAGAGGTCTGCCTCATTAAAATAAAAGGGCACTTACTTAACTCTTGGTTGTTTTCTAGATGGCATCTGCTCTGAATAAAGAGGGCCTTGCAGATGGTGACTTGGGAGAGGTAAGCAAACACATGTACAACTCTGCTTAGTTTTATAATGCCATGGTAATGTGTGAAGTAAGAATAATTTGGGACAGCTAACAATAAAATGGTAGCTGCCAATAAAATAAATGAAGTGGTAGCTCCAATTTTGTAAGCTCCAATAAAATGGTAGCTGTCCCAGAGTAAGTCACAAATAAGCCAGCGTAATACAAGTTCCTACATTCAGGAGGATGAAAGTACTTAATTTAAAAAAAATGTTTTAAAAAAACTTATATAAAAAATAACTTTTAAAACTTATTTAAAACCACTTAAAAAAAACTCATTAAAAAAAAACAACCACTTTTTTCCACTCAAAGGTACCCCCTTTCCCAACTTAGGGCTCTGAGTAACGGGTTTTAGTTCAGGGCCTCAGTGATGTCCCTCCACCTTTCGTTTTTGCTGCCTCTGTTTTGTCAACTGTGATGCTTTGTGCTGCCTATGAGGTAAGGCAGAGCCTGGCAGCTGGTTTGGAGAGCAGCACCTTCCCCAGGCTTTAAAAAAACCCAGGACTGAGAGCGTGATCCTGTAACACTTCCCTGAAAGAGCGATAAATACAGTTCAGGCCTTGCCTGTTGGAATTGCAATGGCCTGAGTCTACAGCAGGGAGGGGACTGCATTGCTTTTGTGTCATAGACATTTTGGGTGTCATCTGTAGTTGCCTCATGGGGAGGAAAAGTTTTGCTGCATGTTTTCAGGCAGCCAAGATGAAAACAGCACAAGTTTTGTTGTACTCCAGCATATATTGCCAATGCAATTCTGGGATTTTCAGTCTGGTTCTGGTGCTTGGTGGTGGGAAGGTGGCTGTACTCTACAGTGCAAAGTATTTCTTCCTCTTTTGCTGGCTTTTTTTAAATGGAATCTTGTCTCTGCTGAAGGCTCCCACAGAATCTGATGAGTCTGTGCCGAACGAGGGGGACGAAGGCCAGGCTACAGAGGAGCAGTTATTGGGAGAGGTATCTGTTTTCCTCTACACTAACCCTGTTGATCTCCTGTGTATTTACTTTGTTACTATGAAGGGCATTTTGTTGGCTCTTCCTAGTGCTGAGGATATATGGAAATACAAGAAGTTATTTAGAATAAGTAAGATCTGGGCTCTTGTTAAGTTGCTTGAGATTTTCTCATCATCCTCAGACATCATGTGAATAGATTTTGGTGGCAATGAAGAACGAGGTCGTATTGTAACAGTCTAGTTGGCACCAGTTTTGTAACAGTCCAGCTTATTCTGCCATAACTTTCACTCTGACACTTCCTTAACATGTACTAAATGTTCTGCTGACAAAACTCTTTAATGCATTCCTTTTTTTATCCCCTTCTGTTTCCTCATTCCTTTCTTCCCTACCTCTAATCATCACCAAGCTGTCAGCTTATTACTACCCTGTTTCTAGGTATATCCTTTTGCAGAGATGCTGCTGAGGTACTGGAGAATAGGGAGAACATTCTCTGCATTGCTCCCACCAACATCACAGTGCCATCCATCCCCTTTGCACCTGAACAGCAAGTGTCAGGGCTTTGGTAGCTAGCTGCCTTGTAAATGTTTGTTGCAACAAACAATTCGGACAGATTTATCACAGGCAGTTTGTGCTCCACCACGTCTGCCTTTGGGATCCTGCAGCTTTTGTTCATTTCTGTCTGCTTGAGCAGTGTTGTTTTCAGCCCTATGCTTTAAATATGGGGGGAGGTCTATAATTAAAACTAAGGACCCAGCCTCTGCCATGTGAGATTAACAGCACTGCAAATACTAGTATTGCTGTGTGAACAGACCAGCTCCATTCTCCCTCAGTCTCCCTTTTGGGTTAGAATTTGAGCTGTTAGTCTAAAACTACCTACACTCCCTTGTGCTCAGACCTGCCCCTGGTACCTGTCTGCAGTTGTCTGTGAAGATGAGGACGGTGGTTTATGGCTCACACATGTTGGAGTGGTGCACTTGTTGACTTAATAGAACAGCCTGTTGAGGACACCAAAGCACCTTTCCTTAGGTTAGGTTCTTAATTGCTTGTTAATTCATTAGACACTGTAGTGGCAGACACATGTATCCAACTGTGTAAGGATTTTGCTGTATGCAATCATGAAGATACTAGATAGATGTCTCATAACAAATCTCTCTTCTAGGAGAGAATTCACAGCCAAACACGACCTTAGCCTACCAGCGTGGGTGGTAAATATTTGTGAGTTTGGCCTGCAGCCACTGATGATACATCGGGGAGTGCTGTCACATACACAAAGTAACTGGATGGGCACATTATTCCTGTGATTGTCACAACATGCTCTCAGCTGGTACCAAACACACATCGTGCATTATCTGACAGCAAATAATTCTCCAGATGCTGCCTCCTTTTGCGAGCCAAACATAAAGCTCGTTTCAGACTTAACCTTCTCATCCCAAATGCATCTTCTTGGTTGACTATGTACTTATTCTTCCTCTTCTGAAGGAAAATTTCACTGATCAGCATACAAACAGGGTGTTCTCAGCAGACTCTTGAACTCCCACTGCATGTACTAGCGCAGTGGCTTAGAGGAGGCAGTTTATGGCACAATGGCTGTGCTGTGAAAATTGGTGGAGAGAGTCTTTCCTCTTGGTATTATTTTTTTATTATTGAAAGGTTTTGTTTGAAATCCCAGAATCCAAGTACTTGCAGGAAATGCTCTGTGTCTTAAGTCCTGGGGGAGATTTTTTTAAAAAGCAGCTTCTGTTGCTGAGCACTCCTGTACTGAGTGCAAAGCACTTAAGTCTGTGTGGACCACATGGGACTTCTGTCTTGAAAATTAAGCTTGTGTTCATGTCTTTTGCTTAAATAAACTAGAGTGTGTGCCTAGTGCAGAGTGTTTCAAGGATGAGCTGAAAGCCTAAGGTAGAGCAAAGTGAAACCTAGACTGTTTTTGGTAGATATTGAAGTTGAAAGAGGAGGGAAGGGAGAAGGTTTCCGATTGTGTGTATATGGGTGTGGATGCACGTATGGAAGTCAGTATCCAGGATCCAGATGCCTGGTTGCTGGCATTTGTGATCTCTAGATATGCACACTTGTGCTTGCATAAGCCTTCTCTGGTGGTTAGAACTCTGAGGCTTCCAGCATTTTTTCTCCTTGGCACTCATTTTAAAAAATGGTCCACTCTGATCTCTCAGAACAATGATTTTGTGATGGTGTGTTTACATGCACTGGAGGTCCTTTGATAAGCCCAGAGCTTTCTCAGTGTGCTTAGGAGGTGACTTTCTGCAGGCACCAGGGGAAGTTTATTATCCTGTTCTGAAAAAGTGTTCTAACAAATGACAGAGATACTCTTCCCTTCTAAGTTAATGGTCTCTTAGGTGACTGGTAGTCTGAAGGTCTATCTTTAACTTGTAATGCAAGAGCCATATTTTATTAAGATGTGTATTTCTATTCCAAGTGCTTACATAATCCCCAAAATTATACTTCTCCTTTCTCTCAGAGGGTGAAGGACCATGAACAAGAAACTGAAGATTTGGGATCTGCAAAGACAACATTTAACATCTCTGTTAGTGGAGGTAAAAAAACCCTTGATATTGATTTCATTGTATGTGCTGATATTTATATATACACTGATGTTGATACTGGTGTTCCAGTGAGAAGACAATTTCTGCAGATTGTGAAGGACTATCAAGACTTGCCTCTAACTTCATTAATTTCACAGAGGTCTCAAGACACATGAAAATACAACTTTTTTTAGGGAAGGAAAGGAAGTATACAGCACTCCTATACCCTATCACTGAAATGCAGCTACTCTGAGTGATTTCTGATATAAAAGAACACACAACTGATCGGGCATGAAGTGCTAACATTGCTGTTTGTGTAGAAACTCCCAGGAAATCTTGAATAACACAGAAGCCATTGACTCTTGTCTAGGTTTGACTTTGTTTCTGGCACTGTATGCAGGATAGCTATTTCAGAGGTCATTTAGACCTTTAGCATCTTGCTCTGCAGCAAGGTAAGTGGTGCTTGACAGTGCTCCTCCTGATATGGCTGTGACCATGGTGTATTTGAGACTGGAGATGAACTGGAGTATCCCTGTAAGTACCTGCCTGGAGCAGGCTAATCTGCAGAGAGCCTTGCACAGTGTTGTACAGTTGGACAGAATCACCTGCTGTTGCATATTTAAGTGACTTTTGTGCCATCATTTGAAAATACACTCCTCTCTCGTTGCAGATGTGGATGGGTTGATTACCCAGGCTCTGCTGACGGGTAACTTTGAGAGCGCAGTAGATCTCTGCCTGCACGATAACCGCATGGCTGACGCCATTATCTTGGCCATCGCAGGCGGACAAGAGCTGCTTTCTAGGACACAGGAGAAGTACTTTGCTAAGATGCAGAGCAAAATTACCAGGGTATGTTTTTTTTCTGTTAAGATACAACATGCATGCAGGCCTTTGGCAACTCCTTTTTTCATTTTAAAAGTTTTCTTGACATTTCATAGGTTTATATCTGTGAGAAGCTAATAAGTATTCAAGTTGCCTACAAGATCTCAGAGCAGTTGGGTTTCTGTTATTCTTTTTCAGTGCATTGATATGGAGAGAAGAGGCATGTTACCTGGATATCAGTACACACAAAGAGTGTTCTTTACCTTGTCTCCAATGTCTGAGTTGCATACACACTAGTAGATTCTCACTGACAGATATTTATCTTAAGCAGCACACATCTCAGTCTATTATGTAATCACGTTTTTCAGGGGTCACACATGACCCATGCTCAGTGCCAGCAGCATTATGTTGATTTCTGCCTGGGATCAGTCTTAACAGATTTTGCCCATGCTTCATTTCACTGCATGCACAGAAGACAGCTAAGTGTGCCCAGAGCAGATCAATCACCCTTTGTCTAGGAGACAGCGTGTTATGACCAGCTGGTTATTTTTCTTTTCAGCTTTTTTGTGATGCCAGGGATTGCTGGTGCTGCTTGTTTCCAATCTTCTTTACTACAAACATGAGAAAGGAGCAACAGGAGGATGAAACAGAAATGGGCTTAAAAGAGCCCAGGGCAATAGGTTTGGCAAGGAAGGACACTATTATAGGAGAGGAGAAAGTTGCTTGTGGTCACTTTTTAGCAGACCATTGTCAGAGAAGGGTATTACTGTAGCAGGAGGCAGCCTATGAAATGGGCATGTGCTTAAGTGCTTTCCTGGAGCAGGGCTGAAGGCTGCAGAGCACAGTCACTTGGGGAGTTAGGGCATGCAGCACCACAGGCTAGGGTCTGTGAGTGGGATTTTGCTGGTCATCACCTGCAATCCAGTTGGAGATAGGAACAGTTTGCATTTCTAGTAGTAGACAAATGAAAAGAGGAACATCTCAAGTATTAAGACTCTGCAGGATTTCTTCCTCCTTTCCTTTCATGCCTCTGGCCTAATCAGAGGAAGGAGAATTTAGTAGTGTGTGGGAAATTTCTTTGCTGTCCTTCCTCCTTTTGGGAAAAGGTATTTTTATGGAGAGCTGACCAGTTATCTGTGCCTGTGCTAACAAGTGAGTGTTGACCTTGTAGTTAGGACCTTGCATTTGTTGTTCAGGCTTGTTTTTTTTTCTTTCTAGTCCCAAACTGCATATTTACTGCTTGTTCAACTCTTTCTGAGCTTAAAGTCTTGGCTTGACAAGGGCTTTGTTCACTAAAGAGCAGCACAGCTGCCAAGTCTGTCTTTTGTCTGAAGTGAAAGAACTGGAGGCAGAGTTTGAGATGGAAGAAACTGGAATTTCATTCTGAGGGCTTGTGGACAGGCAGCCTGTGTGCATGGGTGCAGGGTAGGGATACTGCAGCCAGCTCAGGTTGATGGTGCTGCCAACTTGTTTCTTCCTTCAAGCAGCTTTTTCAGCCACTCCTCGCTGGTCAGCTGGAGACTGATAGCTTAAAGCTGATTAAACAGTTTGACGAACAAAATTCATACCCCTTGCTGGGCGCTGTGTAGTAGAAGACTTATAGCTAAATACTTGATATGTTATCTTTGCAATAACAGTGCTGAAAACCATCAGCAGCAATCCCTGCTTGCAGAGGTTTGTTCATTCTTTTCTTGCACGTTTTGTGGCAAGAATAATTGGCCTGTCTTGAGTTATCTGAGCTTGTTTTGTGATTTTCACTGAATTCCTTTTGAAGTAAAAGGTGCTCTTGTGCAACTGTTGAATTGCAGTGCAGTACCTGCTGTGAATCTGGATACGGTGGGGATGAGTACACTTGAATAGATACAAATTATACTGTATCCAAAAAAAACCCCAAAGGAAATCCTACCAAGATCTTAACTGTGGTCTCTCTCCTTCTGGTCTAGCTCATCACTGCAGTAGTAACAAAGAACTGGAAAGAGATTGTGCAGTCTTGTGATCTGCAGAATTGGAGAGAGGCTTTGGCTGCTGTCCTCACTTACGCCAGGCCAGATGAGTTTGCAGCCCTTTGCGGTAAGGACACTTTACAGGCTGGATGTCATTCATTCCACTTACAGCAGCAAAACTACACTCTGCCATGCTTGTTTTCCTTCCAGTAAATTATTGTAATGCCTCATGTCTTCATTTAGTCAGCTGTTCCATCACCCAGTGACCCCTCCCCACCTCAGAAGAGAAATTAGGAAAAGAGACCTGTGGGTTGACGTGAAAACGGATTTAATGAAATAATATTAAGAGCTAATATTAATACTGATATAAAATAAACAAAGTTATACTCAGCTGACAAAAGCACGACAGTCACAACAAGCGGGAGAGTAGACCTGAGGAGCAAAATGATGGGCGAGACCCTCCAAGGATGACAGCCCTTGAAAAAGAGAGATGTCCCTAGCAAAATTCCCAATTTATAGTGAGCGTGGGGTTTCTGGTGTGGAACACTGCTGTTAGGCAGCTTGGGTCAGCTGCCCTGGTTTTTGCTTCTCCTCACCTCAGCTCCTGGCTAACTCAAAACTGCTAAAGACCTTGATCACCATGGAAACCCACACACCATGGTTGGCCACTCACTAAAACAAAGTGTCTTACCAACTTTATTCTCATCAAATTGGGTGCTGCGGTCTTCTTAAAATGCAGCTTTTCTGACAGAGAGTTAATTTTATGATTCTGTCCCACTGTCGTGGTTTAACTTGACTGGCAGACAAACACCACACTGCCACTCACTCTTCTCTGCCCCAGGGAATAGGGGGGAGAATTGGAAGGGTAAGGAGACTTGTAGGTTGAGATAAAAACAATTTAATAATTGAAATAAAATAACAATTATAATAATGACAATAATGATAATAATAGTAATAGAATATACAAATGAGTGATGCACAGTGCAATTGCTCATCACCCACTGACCAATGCCCAGCCTGTTCCCAGAGAGCAATCCCAGAGGAGTGAAAACCCCTTCACCACAATCCCAGAAGAGAGAGAGAGCGTTCTGGTTAGTCCTCATTAATATACTGAACATGACATTATATGATATGGAATATCCTGTTGGCATATCCAAATGCCAATTTGAATCTGTCACTCTGGCTATACTCCCCCCAACTTCTACTGCACCTGCAGACTAGCAAAACATGGGAAGTTGGAAAGGCCTTGATTTCCCAGCAACAACCAAAAATGTCAGTATTTTATCAACATTCTTCTCATACTAAATCCCATACTGAATCCAAAACACAGTGCTGTTCTAGCTACTGAGAGAAGAAAGTTAGCTCTGTCCTAGCCGAAACCAGGACACCTCCCTAGCTTCTTTGATGGACAATATAGTTCTTTGATCCTGTTGCAGAGGAGGAGAGGAACCTCTGGAGTGCTGTGTTCCCAGTATGTTCCCTTATTTTCTGGGCACAGAACCCAGAGCCTTGTGAGCAGCTGTGTCCTGACATCGCCTCTTTCACAGGCAGGGAGCATGCCTGCCGTCATGTGTTTGGTGTGGCAGACAGCTGGCTGGGTTTGATCCATAGGGAAGCTATATTGCCCATAACTGTGGTCCTGACACCCATGTGTCCCTCAGATGCCAGTGACAGTGTCTGGGGAGCTGTATGACTCACTTCAGCACATCAGCCCAGAGCACGTCATAGCTTTGCTCACAGTTCCTCAGCCAGTTGCATGCTCGAGTTGCACTCCTGAAATGAGAGACTGCAAAAGTGGGTGATGGAGGGGAGAATTGCACCCTGGCCTCTTGTCCTTTGTCATGTTGGCAGATGGACTATCCCCTCTGAGATGTCTCAGATTTGCAGGTGTTTGACAAGTCCTTGCTGCCATGACATTAACTGCCTCTGAAGAGCCCTGGGCTCCCATGAGACTGAAGTATGTCCTTACCAATGGAGCCTAGACATAATATCCCTTCTCACTGTGCTGAGCAGAGACACAACAGGCATTGCAGGCTTCCCCAGCCTCGGCAGTGATGGAGGGATCACCAAAGTGATTCACCAACATCTCTCTTCATATTTTTTCCTAGATCTCTTGGGTAACAGACTGGAGAGTGAGGGGGACAGCCTTCTGCAGACACAAGCTTGTCTCTGTTACATTTGTGCTGGCAATGTGGAAAAACTTGTTGCTTGTTGGACCAAAGCTCAGGATGGAAACAACCCCTTGTCCCTTCAGGTTGGTAATTGTATTAAGAAAGATGGTGGAAGGTAACACACTGCAATCACTTGGTGCTTAAATCAAATGATAGAGTGTAGAGTTTTGATGCTGTCTGATAGCTGCACGTATCTCAGGATGCAAACCTTTTCCTGCTGGAGTGGGTGGCTTTTGTAGAAATAACACATAAATATGATATTGAAGCGTGTTGTGAAGCAGTATGGTCCTCATGTCTGCTCTGTTCTTTGGGTAGTTGTGCTAATTGTGCTTCTTGGGTAAAAAGGTAGTTGTAGGGCTTAGTGTTTCAGTAAAGAAGGAGCTTTGAACACTTGCATCTTTTGCAGTCGGGGAGTACTTGGATGTTTTTGCTTTTGGAAGAGATGGCTTGGATGTTCAGGGGAAGAAATCTGTAAATTAAAGTTAAATCCAGAAAGAAAACTGTAGGAAGGTTCTCATAAGAGTTTTCTCTAGGAGGTTGCACATACTGAGTTTAGTTCCCAGCAGCGAAATATATTGCATACAGCAAATATCTTGAGGGAATAGGATTGATGACAGTGAAATGATCCAATTATGGTATAATTTATTTTATAGTATAATCTTACTTTCTTCCATCTGTTCAGGGTCTTTGAAGGACTAGTTCTAGAAAGTACTTACAGTAATGTTACCTGGCAGTGCTGTGAGTCTCTGTTTAGTTAACTGAAGGAACTGGGTTATACGTGAATTTTGCTTTGCGTTATTAACTCTTTCCAGTTTTGAATTATCAAAATTACTTTCCAGCCTCTCGATTGTGAGGGCTTCGTTTACAGATTTACCTTCAGTTTGAAATTGCATTTTGATTGCATTGCTTTGCTCTCTTGGACGCTAAAATTGAAAAATATTGTTGGAGTCATAATGAGGCTGCTTGTTTACTGTGATGCAGACTTGCTGAAACACATAGAAGCTGTTGGTTATCTTGATTTATTTTTGTTACTTGCCTTCTTTGAAGTGTTGATTTGTTGGGAAAAACAAAGATGTATTATAGAACTGACTGTTCAGTAGTAAACAATCCTTACTAGTGATGTATGGTTAAAATCCTGTGTGTGGTACACTCATTAAATCTGTTACAAGATTTCTTAGAGAGAGAGTGCATGTTAATATTGGCAAATGAATATTTCTAGTATTTTCCAATATAATACAGTGAGAGTAAGAAAAACATGAGAAAACTGACATGAGAAAACGGAAAAAACCATGAGAAAAACGGAAAAAAATGAAGAAAAAAAACAGAAAAAAATGAAGAAAAAAAAAAAGGAAAAAAAAGAAGAAAAACCAGAAAAAACTGAAGGAAAAAAACAGGAAAAACTGAAGGAAAAAAACAGGAAAAACTGAAGGAAAAAAACGGGAAAAACTGAAGGAGAAAAACTGAAGGAAAAAAACAGGAAAAACT